TAGTAGTGACAAGATAGATATCTTATACGGTGTCTGATTGAGTTGATCAACTATCTTGTAGTCACTCTTCTTAATAATCTTCATCAATTCCTTAATCTCTTTTGCTTCCTTAGAAAAAGACGACTCTGGATCATAATTCGGCACTTGGTTATCCATAACAATTTGCTTCCCTTTAGCATTAGCTAAAGCTTCATCAGTTTTATCTTGAGTAACTTGTGGAGGGGAAAATATTCTACCACTGCGGGTGAAACGACTTGTTCCAACAATATTTTCTACCCTTGTTTCAGCAACCACAAGGGGTAGGTCTTCTTGCTTTTAACCTTGATAATATACCTCAACACCATAACACCATGGTATAGCTTTGGTACTTTCAAACAGAACAGGACCAGGCATAGTTATCATCAATGGAGACTATTTAGATGGTATAGGAACAAGAACATGATCATACGAAATAGAAATAATTACAACATTATCACTACCAACATCATCATTATATAAAGGCCTATCAAACTGAATTAAATTTTGATCAAACATTCTTTGAATACCCATATTCAACTCATCAGACCCCTTCGGCTGATCAAGACACTGCTTACAAGCAATAGAACAACCAAGGAACATGTCATGTTCAAATAACTTCTTCTTGACAAAAATCAAAGAAATCCTCAACTGATTCACATCCATCACCAGGTTTAGACCATCAATATTCTCAATAGCATCTACCAAAGGAATGTTGTGCGGAGGTATCGAATTTTGCATCACATTTGATGATTGTTTAGAGTGAACTCTGAAATTCTGGCAACAGATACTTAATGTCACAGTGAATGTTATGACACCGTATCTGACAAATTGTACACAAACCAAACAGTAATTTAAAAGATAGTAAAGAACACAATCAATTGTTAACCCAGTTCAGTGTATAACAACACCTACATCTGGGGGCTACCAAGCCAGGGAGGAAATTCACTATAAGAGGTATTAATTTAGGAATAAACCAACCAGTTTATCTCCTTCACTTCAGACCTACCCAATGCAACTTAAATCTAAGTCCTACTTAAACCTGAGTTCCTACTCACTCTCCCTCAATCACAACAGTGATACTAATCTACTGATTAATAAGATTATGAAGACATTCTTCAATACACACGCTTGATTTTGCTTCAAAGCTTTAATCAAGAGACACAACACTCGTGCTTCAAAGCTTTGAGTGATAAACAACCCTTACAACCAAATCCTACTCCAAGTCACTTATCAAGTGATAATTGCTTGGCACACAGTAATTACTAAAACTATCACAACTACAAAATGCCTTATTGATCTTCTCTAAAAAAACACTGCACACCATTAGGATTCGTGAGAAATATATATGCAGTCTATTCATCATTTTGGGCTTCCATAAAAATAGCTAGGGTTAACCAAAGTTAACCTAAAGACTTGGTCTTGGGCTTTCATCATAACAGATTAGGGTTAAGCAAGGTTAACCTAATATCCACGTGAGCATCTGATATAGTATATATACTTCAACTCAGAATAGCACACCAAATTCCTGAAAATTCCCAGGAACAATAAATCTGCACAACAACTTGATCAGTACAGGATGTCTTAACATTGGTTAAGACATCATGTATCCTGCTCACTAATTTTGCTAGAATTCAGTACATATGATCATAGCTTAATCATTATGATATTCACTCATACTGAGTTGTTCCTGTAGAGCATTCCTTCTGCAGAATTTGTCTTTATCCCAGAATGTTATGACATCAGTCATGACATTCGCAAATCTGGTTTTACCAAAAATTAATGCCAACAAGCAAACACTTACAAACTCAATCACTTTAGAATCAATCAGATCTTACACCTTATGCTTTAAAGCTTTGCAGTTTTCAATATTATGCCATGGCACTCCATAATGAAACTCACATTTGGTGTTTGCATCATAACCAGGTAGCAACTTTGTAGGAGGATTCATAGTGTGGAGTTCAACTAACTGCAATTTGAGCAAATGAGGCAAAAAATATGCATAAGGCATCGGTATCAGGTCAAAAGTTCTCTCAGGAAAATTGGGTCTTTGCTTATATTTTCTAGGAGCATAATTTTGATGATACTAATGCGGGTGTTGAGGAGCATAAGCTGGCTGGGGAGCAACAACTTACTGAGGAGCTGAAGGAATTACTGCAGCAGCTTGTTGATATGGCGCTTGATACGCTCTGCCCTTTCCTCTAGAAGAAAACATAGAATTGGTCACCCTCTTTCTCTTTTTAGCATACCCTCCAAAAGACTTCTTCCCTCCATTTGAGGAACTTGCATTTGCAACCTGAATCTTTCCCAACTTAATAACTGGTTCAACACGCTTAACTGCCATAACCAAATTTGAAAAACCGATCGAGGTATTTCCAACCATCATCGTATAATAGGGACCCTGTAGTGTTTCCATTAACATGTCTACCAATTCTCTTTCCATCATCGGTGGTTGAACCCTGGCAATAAGTTCTCACCATCTTTAGGCGTACTCTTTGAAGAATTCGTTTGACCCTTGAGAAAGACTCTGAAGTTGAGTCTTATTGAGAGACATGTCAATATTGTATTGGTAATGCTTATGAACACTTCAACCAATTCTCTCCAGGTACGGATATAAGTCCGCTCTAACTACATGTACCACTCCAAAGATGTCCCAGACAGCTTGTCTTGAAAGAAGTGCATCAGCATCCTTTCATCATTATTGTATGCTGACATTTGCCTGTAATGTGTCCTGAAATGCGTCTTAGCACATGTCGTCCCCTTGTATTTGTCAAAGTCTGGAGCCTTAAACTTAGCAGAAATTCTGATACCTGGCACCAGACCGAAATCTACAACATTTATTCCATAGGCACCATGACCCTCCACGACCTTCAATCTTTCTTCAAAGATATGAAACTTTCTCTTGGCGTCAGTAGGTAACCACATAAGTGTCATGCATTGAAAACACATCTTCGTTAAAAATATAAAAATGTGAAGAAAAAAATATGTGTATATGTGAAATAATGACATTGAATTGAATGTAATAATTATTAGCGTTTTTTTGCCTATATTTAAGATCATAGCAAAAAAAAAAAATTGGGTTGCTTATATTTGAGATGAAAGGGAGTAGACTATCATTAGTCTTGCTAAAGTAATTTGAAATTTTTAAATAAAAAATAATATTTTAGAAAAATAATTTTAAAAATATCTATTTCCGAAAAACAATTTTCTAAAAAAAGGATGAAAATAATAAAATGATTTTACAAAAATTAAAAATAAAAATAAAACAATGTTTTAAAACAAAATATAAATATTATTGACAACATATTATCTTTAAAATAAAATAAAATATAAAAAATTTAAGTGAAAAAATTAGGTGTTACAAATCTTACTTTAATTTTAATTTTGTTTATTTTAAGGATCTCCTTATTTCGAAGCTCATTTATTTTTTAAATTTTAGTTTCTAAATTTTGAGGTTTTAAAAGTTAGAGTCTAATTTCTAAAAGTCTTATTGACAATTACATGTCTTATACAATTATTGTAATAAAAAAAATTGGTTACAATTATTGTAAAATATTAAAAATGAATTCGTAAAAAATATCTAAACAGGATATTAACGTTATTGTTAATTGGGTTAGTTTTATATTTTTATTGTCTAATCAATGACTAAATGTTATCTTTTTATATTAGATTTTTTTTTTCTTGTGCTATTTTTAGTTTATAAAAGAGAATAATTACTATACAGTAAAAAATATTATGTAGGATCAGTGCATCACAATTATTTACACGTGATATTTTATGTGTGATTTAAAAAAAAAGTCAATTTTTTATATAAATTTATCAATTATGATTCACTGATAATGTAAAATTGTTTAGTATTAATTTTTACTCAAATTATACTTAGAAATTATTAAAATTAAAGATATAAAAAAAACAATATTCCTATGTATGAGAGAGAAAGAGAGAAGGATTAAGGAAACAGTTAATAAAATGAGGAAATGGTCAATCAGAACCAAGGTTTAACAAAATGGTTAATAAGACTATGAAATGGTCAATCACATACATGAGCTGGCTATGTAACTGTTTCACAAATAATTTCCAAACTTTTTTTTTAATAATTTAGTTTACAAACATTCACTTTTTTTTATCACTATAAACATTCACTTTTTTAATAATAAATTTTTAATGAAATTCTTATTCTTATTATTACTAAATCAAAATACTAAATTAAGTGTTTTTTTTGTCTAAAGAAAAACACTTGACGTGAATGAATCATGAATATAGATGGCATGTTTTCATTGCATAATAACTTCCTTATTTTTAAGCCAATCCTCCCTTCCGCAAAACACCAAATTTTAATGTATTTTTTTCTTTTATTTTTTAATTCATAATTTTTGTTTTCTCAAAAAAAAATTGTGTAACTGCATGTAACTTCCCCTAAATTATCTAGCATGATTCAGTGAGGTTAAATCCAGTTTATTATTATATATCATAGCTCTTCTTAATTTTTATTCTCCTTTTCCTTTACTCTTCTCTAGTCTTTTTCTTCCTTCAGTCTCTCTAAAACCATTCACATCCAATAAATATCTACAACGATTCTCCTTAAATTCTCCTTAAATCCAGTACACTGTTTTTTCTCTCCAACATTCTCGTACTTGTCCTCTTCAAACATTCTTGTACTTGTTGTCTCTAAACAAAGATTCTCCTGTTTTTTTTTTATCAAGGGATTTCTTACCACACACTACAACAACTATAATAATTCTTATCCTTCTCAAACTCTTCAAACTATTGATAACTCCGAAACCATCACTTTTCAACATCATGATGAACAACAACAACAACTATTTGAACTGTCGCAACAAAACTATGACTTTTCGTCTTCTTTTCTAGATGAAACCTTATTTTTTCCGAGTCCTTATTTTTACTCTAACGAGAATTATCCTTGTGAAGATCAACTAATCATTGACTCAACTTTTTCTTGTGATCAAAACGATGGTTTTGTTTCAATGAATGACATTTTCCCTAACGATGAAAATTTCAACAACTATGTTCTTCCATGTCCAAAACGACAAAAACTAGGTTATGAAGAAGAAAACCAACAAGAGCTTTTGAACTCATGCAATTATTTTGTGGATGAGTTTATAGCGAACCCTTTTACTACTTCCTTTGAAGCGGAAGCATTTTCGGGTTCGAATATGGTTGATGTTAATGTGCAATGTGAGAAGAAGGTTAGTGAAAGGAGTATCTCGACTCAGAGTATTGCGGCGAGAGAAAGAAGAAGGAAGATATTTGAGAAGACACAAGAGCTTGGGAAGTTGGTTCCTGGTGGACCTAAGATGAACACTGCTGAGATGCTTAATGTTGCTTCTAATTATGTTAGGTTTCTTCAAGCTCAAGTTGGAATGCTTCAACTTATGGAAACTTTCAGCAAGGTAATAACTGCTTTTTGTTTGTGTTTTTGTTTTGTATAAGTTTTGAGGTTTGTCTCTTATGTTTTGAGGTTTGTCCTGATCATGGTTCTGGTGGTTCAAACCCGGGTCTTAAACTTTTTGTAATCAAAATACATACTATTATGTCTTAGATTTTGGTAATTGATTATTTCAGGAAGAAAAGGAACCTCCTCCTCCAAGTGAAGAACTACACAAACTAGTTATTTCTCCTTTTGTTCAAGAGAAGTTGTATTCAGAAGAAAAGTGTTATATTTCAAAAGAGATTGTCACCACATTGAGCAACAATGTTGATGTTAGGTCAAAACCTCCAATCCTTCAAGGTCTTAAACAACTTGTTGGAGCATAGATTCCTCATGAGAATGAGGAGAAACCAAAACAAGAATAATTTTACTTTCTATTTGGTTTTCTTCTCCATTTTTGAGAGTTGTTTCAATTATTTCATTTTTTTGTATGTTGTTACTTGTAGGGTTCTATTCTCATGAGCCTATAGGTTAGATTCACTTTTTGGTTGTTCATTTATTTTGCTTGTAAGAGGAATCATTTATTTATTTATTTTTACCTTGATTATTTTTTATTTATTTGTATGATTATTTATTTCATTAGTCAATTTTGCATGATTCTCTGAAAAACGCTAAACATGTTTTGATAAAAATGCCATAGACTTGTCTTGTATAAAATAAAGTTGTCTGAATAAATATTAAATCAAATTGAGTACATTAATTTATAATAAAAATATATGTAAAATAATATTTTAACATGTTAATAAATATATCATATTTTAAAATTTTAAAATTTAAATTATAAAATCTTATATTTTTATTATTTTTATATGATAAAAGTATCTCATATTTATTGAGTTCAACCATATTTAAAGAAAACCAAATTGTTGTGCACATTGATTAGCCAACTAGATATAAAAATAATGTTATTTGAATGAATATTAAACCAATTGACTATATTATTAATTATTAAAAAAATTAAACAAATTGAGTACGCTAATATAATAAATAATTTTGTACTAAAATATATGTAAAATAATATTTAAACTAAAATTCAATCATTTATTAAAATTGTAAGCAAATGCTATCGAATGCTTAGATGATTTGTTAGTGTAGACCAAATCCACTTTTTCTTTTTTCTTTTTTTGAATCAAGACCAAATCCATTTATAATAACTGAATAATGAAGTTCCATTTTTTATCCTAAAAATATGGTAATACACAACAAACATTATTTTTTTAATAAAATAATTGGGAAATTCTTATCAATCAAGATTAATCTTTTTAACACCAATTAAGATTAATATCGATTAATTTATTTTGAACTTTATATTGTAAGAGTTCTAATCACTAAATTAATACTAGAAATGAAGCATATATATTATAATTTAGAGAAATGAATATATATATATATATATATATATATATATATATATATATATATATATATATATATATATATATATATATATATATATATATATATATATATATATATATATATATATATATATATATATATATATATATATATATATATATATATATATATATATATATATATATATATATATATATATATATATATATATATATATATATATATATATATATATATATATATATATATATATATATATATATATATATATATATATATATATATATATATATATAATTTTAGTTTATATAATTTTTTTAATATAAAAAATCACCAATTTTAATCTTTAATAAATTTTCCTTATATCATTAATTAATTTTTGTGGATGATGTGGAATTGTTTAAGATGACTCATTATATTTTCCTTATATCATTAATTTTTTTAATAACATCCTTTTAACATTTATTTTATTTCATATGATAAGAACTAAAAACACAAACATCAGTACAGTTATCAAACAATCCTGTCATTATTATCATTTTTTAAAGCAACGATGCAAAGATAAATCAGTTCTGCTCAAAATGTTTGAAAATTAGATACAACTTTTTGCCATGCAAATTCATTTTTGGTGATTCTATTGTGTTTTTGTGACCGTGTCGTCGGTGTCATCCGGAGTATCGGAATATGATCCCCATTCAGTCCACGATCCATCATAAACCGGAACATCGGTCTTTCCAAGACGATGAAGACCCTATAACAAAAAAAATTCAAAATCAAAATGTAATGAAAGGATATTTCCAATATATCGGGTACTTCGATGGAAAAGATTAGAGAAGACTAGACACAGCAATACCAATGCAAGAATGCATGCAGTTACTCCAGTTCCACACGAAGTCACGACCGACTTTTCCAAAGAGATGCCTGCAGAATAATGAGAATTGGTGACAGTGGAATTCGAGAAGAAAATGATTTCGCCAATATTAAAATATATTGAAAGATTTTCGAACCTTCTTGTTCAAATCGCTTCTTAAGCTCGTCTGCTGGTAACAATGCTTGTGAACTATCTAAAATCTGCAGGTCAAAAACATTTTGCATTGATTAAAATAGTCTGAAAATCAAGTGCACGCATAATGTAATAATAATATACCGAAGCATTCTTAATAATAATGATATCGAGGATATAATACAACATGATCAGAATTGAGATAAGATTGTATGATTTTTAATATTTATGTTGTACCTGGGGGAAAGGAATGCATTTTCTTCCAGGTACATGACCACTTCTGATTCCCTTTCTGGGCTCTGCTGCAATTCCGTCAAACCTGTCAAAGGATAAAATCTTCGTAATCCAAGAATCATACATCAAAAATGAATTTGTGTCCCAAACTGAATAACACATTTATCATTTCCAAGTCGATCAATAACTAAACTACATGCAACTAAGAGGGAATGTAAATTACATGGGCTTTAATCGAGCATCTACCTGTTGATGAGATTTTTCCTCTATATTTTTCGTTACCTATTACGAAAAAGAAACAAAGAAAAAGTAAGGTGATATTCAAACCTATGAATAGTGTTACCCCATCAGTCATCTACTTTCTTCCCAATCATATGGGTGCCAAACCACACCTTCTGTGCATATGAACAGTTCATGGCTCAAAACATTTTCTCAATCGCTTTCAGCCATACCCGTGCCCTGTTAGGTTCATGAGCTCCCTCGTAAGTTGGCAGATTATTCCTCTAAAACTTCTCAAAGCATGTAACTCATCATCATTGTTGTTATTCCCAACATTATTGTTGACATGTTGATTCTTCCTAATTTCTCCAGCCAACATTGCTAAAGCTTCAGTGATAGCCTTGTCATTCCTGCCTCCAACCATTATTCTGAGAATTTCCAACAATAACTTCTCACTAGAACAAACAATAATGATAGTGCCACATACACATATAGAATATAAATGAGAATAAACACATTAATAACTTAGTCAACTGGTCGACTATGCTCTGATACCACTAATGTAACACCCTCTGAATCCCACGGAATATTTTGTCATAAATCAGAGTAAATAATAACATGCATTTCAAAACAAGGGACTCGCACATACTCCATATAATACAAATACATGTCATGCTCAATTAACACTTATTTAAATTCATGGATTATCATACCACTTTTCACAAGCATGTAGCAGCGAAATAAAACTCCATTTCAAATGAACATACTATAGAAGTCTCGTAATAAATCATTCATTGAAATAACTTAGACATAGAAGCCAATTCACCATATAAATCAAAATATCATAACAACATAATATAGAGTATACAATGTATCTCTTTAAAAACATGAATCCAAACGTTTTCCCCAGTGTTACATGACTAGAGCATGACTCAACCCAAAGTAAAATGAAAATAAAACCAGCTAACTCCTCAAGGTAATCTCTTGCTAGAAGAAACTTTACTCTTTGGTACTTGAGCTATCATATAAAACATCATTTCAACAGAAAGGTGAGAATTTACATGATTATCGAAAATCGTACAATAATACATAATGTATAACATGTATGCATACAAATAAATATTCTCACACTACGATGCTTTATAAACATAACATCACCCAATTCTCATACTATTCTCATGCATATACAATCACAATCTACAATTTTCCACAAACACATCAACTTCTCACCATACACACAATTCCATATTGCAAACATAGACATAATATGACTCAATGCAACTCTAATGCAATACTCATGCATATGGTACCAATCTCTGTTATTTTTATTTGGTTTTTACTTTAAACCGGGTCTGTCCTCTAGACCAATAACACACCAAAAGCCCGTCCTCTAAGCTTTTAAACTCCTCTATAGGTTTGGGACAAGTCACTAGCTCCCACAGAACTAACAAGTATGCCTCTTGACAACAAATGATGCATGTGAAATTACAAAAACCATATGCAAATTAAGGCCATCCTCTAATATTAACATCTATGCATATTTTCAATAATTAATTACACTTGAATTACCACACATTTGCACATACAACACATACTCATAAATTATTCACATACAATTCATTTCATAATATCACTGCTCCAAAACATCATAACAACACATAGCAACAATGCACAACAATCATTACGATTTAACACCCAATCACAGACATACATACGTCACATAAACAAAGTTTCATATCATTAACAAATAGCCTTTAAAACCCATCCAAACATGCAATTTAAATTCCAGAAAATTAAGTAAAATTAGTATAAAATATAAGCACACATAATCCAAAATTAAATAAAGAAAACTACAAAATTTGAACTTTAAGTTCATGCTAAGCGCGCTCATTACAGACCCGAGCAGGATAAGCGAGCTAATCTCACGTTGAGCGGGCTTTGCGATTTTCAGAAAAAATTATTGCAATGGCAACAACGATCTCATGCGATTTCTTCATCCCAAAACACATTTTTAACATTAATTTCCGTGATTTAAGCATTATAACATATATCCAACATATATACATCAATCCAAACATTCACAACACAATTACATGTCAATATCATGGATTCTCAATCAAAACCTAAGTGATTCAAAACATGGAAAACTAGAGAAATTGATCATAATACATGCTACTACCTATCATGCATTATCATCAACCCCAATAATCAAATGAAAACTCACCCTTACCTCGTAAAAACCTTTTCTCTTCTCTTTTGCTATCCTTCTTACTAACTCTATTTTCTATTTCTATTTTATTAAACCTTTACAAAAACTAACTCTAGCAATCACTATTAGGCTTCCTAACACACACACTCATATTACTCTTACCTTTCTCACCCAATAGGCTCAATTACCAACATTTTATCATTTTTATATAATTATCACTAATAAATTAATTCTATCATAACTGACATTATTACTAACTACAATTCTACGGTTCGACATACTTAACCCGACTCACTTGTCAT